CCGCGGTGCATAACCCAGTCCGCGGTGCCCAGCCCAGTCCACGGTGCATAACCCAGTCCGCGGTGCCCAGCCCAGTCCGCGGTGCCCAGCCCGATTTATGCACAAACTGCAAACGCCAGGTAAGGTTAGAATATGATGTTTTTAGCACTTGGCTGCCCCCTACGGACACCAAATGGGGGAAGCGGAGCCACAGCATGCAGTCACTGCGGAGGACAGCTGCTCCTGACGGCTAAAAACCTGCAGCAGCCTCCAGCAGGTACATGCTCTGTGAAGAGGCACACAACCTCACAGGGCACAGTGTGCGTGCACGTTAGTGAGACTAGTGCAAGACTGCCTCCCGCGTCCTCTCGAGTCCCTGCCCAGCTGGCACCCTGGTGAAGGGCAGAGGCAGCGGGACACGCGAGACACCGCAGCAGCCACAGCGGCCGGCACAGAGGGCATCCCACCGCTGGCACAATACATACACAGACATGTACAACAAAATACCCACAACATGCACACCACACAGACACACACATACGCCTGCACACACACACATGCGCGCACACTTTCCTCACTCTGCCTGTCCATATAAACATACATACACACACGGCGGCAACACACATTATTTCTCAGGGTATTTATGAGCCTGTGCTTAGTGAGCTTGTGACTGTGCTGACTGTGTTATCCTCGGTGTCCTGGCAGACACAACCCCTGCTGTCCCTCGCTTGGTATCCAGGACCAGAACCGTGACGAGAGGCCCAACCTCACACCCCACTTCAACCAAAGCGGGCCAGCAGTGCCTGATACTACAGACGGGTATCTGGCAATAGGGCTGGTGGAAACTCCCCAGACATCGGCGGGTGCCGATCGGTGTGTGTTAAATACAGCTGCCCTAACCCCAGGACAGGCTTCAAGATTGTATGTTACTGTCTCTGTGTGAGAATGGTACAGAACCAGGGACCAAAAAGCCCAGGCGCCTTACCTGGTCGGAATGCCCCCCTGTCACTCTGCCAGACTGCAGCCTGGTGTCACAGTGAGGGGCCACAGCCTCCCCGGGGTCCCGGTCCATTCTGCTGCCACCCCTCCCTACCCTGACCCAGCGGTATACCGGGCGTTTAAAACCGCAGCATCTCCATTCAAAATTCTGCTTTCATAGCTGTTTCCACACGATCTCGCACCGCCGTGCCGGGCGCAGTTTCAGCAGGGGTCCTCTGCAGCTTATCTCACGGACCGTCAGAGGTCGGCAGGCCGGCGAACCCCCG